TGAGTTCTCAACAGCGGAGGCGTCAAGAGTGAAAATCACATTTTAAAAAAAGTTCACTTTTTGTAAAGTAAGTCTTCACATAACAACCTACATTACATATGTTTATACTAACTGTGTGGGATCAAAGTTTTTTTTTACCTTAGGATGGTTTACCAATGTAAGGAAGAAGTTACTTCTGCCCAAATTTAAGTATTTAATAACCACTTTTGTTCAATAAAAACCGTGAGGGCCACTCACAAAGCAATGAAATGGAATGCAGCTGAACCAAACAGGAAATGTTTGGCGTAAGCTTCGTGAATGCTCATGTTACATGTGATTGTGATTCGAAGCATCACTGGGCGAGTTTTACAGACTTTTGAAAGCTGTGACAAGTTGGCTATTGAGAAAGGAAATGCTCAATGTGAGCAATGCTGAATGAAAACTATGTGAAATGACTGAAACAATGCTTCAGGCTTACTTCAATCGACAAGAAACCTATGTGTCTGGAATATATTTTGCAGAGGTTAAAAATGTAGTTATTTAGAAGCTGAAATTAAAACCAGTTTTTATTCCTCATAAACAAGAAAGGGTTCCATTGAGATGCTCTCCATGGTCAAATAGCTCACCGTATAGACTCACAGATCAAGTTATACCTTTGATGAGGTACCATACACCACTGATGTCAGCTCCTTCAGGACAGTATCATGTGAAAATGGGAAAGGGTAAAAATAATCCTGTGCATGCTAATGTAGGAGTGTAATGTACACAGATACATGCATGGGATCAATAACAGAGAGGAAAATAACTTTCAGAAAGGAGTGCAAATGAAACTCAAGATAGGAACCCCAGTCTAATTGGGTAAATTCACTGCCTGGATAATAATAATAATAATCCTTGCATTTGATACAAGGCCTTATCACATCTTCGAGACATCTCAAAGCACTTCACAGAATATACTGTAAAGTGAATTCACTGTATATTTTGTGGGTGAAAAGCAGCAGCTAATTGCGCACAGCAGTTTCCCACAAACAAATACATAGTGACCACACTGAGCAGGAAGGCCCAAGGTCCAATCTCTGGATTGTGCCGAGTTATCTGATTTCATCCAGGGTAGCAGTTGCAATGCTACAAATTGGCCCCAGTAACCTCAGGCTGGTAAGGATCAGGCTAGAATGTGAAACGTCAATGGATTTCTTTTCACATAAAATCCCATCTGGGTTTTATCAGACATTTTTAATTGAGAGACATAACTCGGTGAAGAGACAAGGCCCGAGGCCCTGCTAATGATAGATCAGCCAGAATGGCTTGTTGGTATCTTCCATCCCATGATTTTCAACCTTGGTAGTATCTTGCCCTGGTACTACAGAGATTGAAAAGTGTAGGGCGGAAGATAAGATTTGAATCATGGAACTGTGAACCTAAACTGGTATTTTCAAAGTTTTCAGCATGTAGGAAATGATGATAAATCTGCAGCTGGAATATTATGTGCAATTTTGAGCACTGTATGACTGAAAGCATTTAGAGTGATGGAGCAGGTGCAGAATAGGTATACAAGGTATACGGGAAATAAAAGGGTACAGCTACAAGAGAGACTAGAGAGGTTGAGACTTTTCTGTTGGAACAGAGATTTTGTGTCTGGAACGAAGTGTGCACTCTCCACTCGCAAATGCACATTAATTGCCTAATTCTGGAAAGTATAAGGCACAGGTTGGCCTTGGGATCTCAGAATGTGTATTGGGGTATTTTTACCAGCTAAAACTGCAAAAGCTTGCCAGTGTGATCACTGTTTTGTAAGCTTCTCACTGCTTGCCCAGGTCTGATCACTGCAGGGGTTAACGGAGCTGGGTGGGAAGAATCCCTGCCCATCCTGCCCTCAAGCCATTCTGGCAGTGCTTCAAAGTCTGAAGACCTGTCTGACTCGAGAACCAGACTACAGAGACCACCACAGAGGTTTGACTTTTTCCAACATTCTAATGTTAAAGAAGTCACTTGGAGCCAAGGCGAGTCCTGCTTACCTCCCCCTCAAGGAGGATAGTCGCCAGCTGGTCACCTGACATGCGCAAGTTGAGAAGGTTGTAGGGTGCTATTATACAGACGTTTTAGGTAATGAAGCAGTCAGAGAGAATTACTAATGAAAAATCATTTGCCTGTGAATCACCTGTGGGTAGGTGATTCAAAAACAAAAGTGTATGAACTGAAGATTTTGACTTGGGGAATAAAAGGAGAAGTTCAGAAGAACTTCCTTCTCCTAGAGGGTTATCAGGTTGCAGAAGTATTTGCCTTCTATTAGAGAAGAGCACTTTAAAAAACAATTGGACAAGTACATGCAGAGGAGGGATATTAGAGGGTAAAGGAACTGGGATTGGTTGTGAATGTCTTGCTGAAAGAACAAACACCGACACAAAATAAAGGGCCGAATGACCACCTACTGTGTTATATATTTCTAAGGTTCTCTTATTTTTAAGATTGTGTGGAGGTGAACAAATACAGACCAGATTCCTGGCTCAATCCCTTCTGTGCTGACGTGGCTGATTTCAGTTGGGACAGAAGCATTAAAGGATGCCCAGGATAAGGATGGAAGGGGGAAGATAAAACTATCTGGAGTTTTCATTTCTGTTTGATGACTTCTTTTGTTTAAGGCTGTGGATGTCAAGGAAATGCCCCTTTATAGTCAATTAATCTGCCGACATCCATTATCATGAAGAATAGCTTATCGGATGAGGTCCGGGAAGGGCTACTGGTGTTCATATAACCATATGCTAACACGAACCATCATCTTTAGGAAAGGTGGGAGAATTTTTGTTCAAAAAAATCTAAAATAATTGTTTTAAAAATTAAAAAAAACTTGAAAATTTGAAGTGTTACTCACATAAATGTCTTAATTTTCAGCCTTCTTTAAATAAATTTAAAGTTTTTATTTAAAATAAAACATCAATGTGAAAAACAAGTAAAAAATGTTATATTTTCCAGATGAAGATGGCAAGAAATGGAGAAATCTGTTATACAAAATACTCTATAAATTAAACTGCATACTTATTCGTTTCTAAGTAAGAAATACTTATTTTAGGTTTTATACGTTTTGATGGGGTACTGGACAGGAGAGGAGCGAAAAAGAGTTACAAGCCACACAAAACACTTTGCACACATACAATTGAAATACCGTATGTATGTGCAGCATCAAACAACACACAAAAGTCACACATTTGGGGAAATCAAGCAGTTGTGAGGTCTGTGTACCTTCAAATGAAAAATATCAAAAAATAACTCAGAGTGTTATAACATCTTTGAAGTTATTGATGAAAATTGGGTAAAGGTGTGTGAGAGCAGGTAAGTAGCTCTGTTTCTCCCACTTCTGATAATGGGTACCATAGCTCTCTCTTGCCTACTTAAAGTGATCTCTTGTCCGAACCAATACAGCGTGAGAGGTTGCAGAATTATTTCTCTCTCTTGGATCCCCCTCCATGGTAGCACTATGAAAAACAACAGCTTGCATTTATAAAGCGCCCTTCACATGGGGTAGCATCTTGGCGGGCTTAACAGTGGCCCAAAAATAATTTGGTCACTCAAACCACGACTCTTTGTGGGACACTGCTGTGCTGGCTGCTGCGTTTCGCCCACAAAATATACAGTCAATTCATTTTACAGTATATTCTGTGAAGGGCTTTGAGATGTCTCGAAGATGTGATAAAGACGCTATATCAAATGCAAGTATTATGTTATTATAATACAATTTAGTAAGAACTTTAAGAAACAGCTGTATGTAAATGTTAATGAACTAACCTTGATTTAGTCATTTGAAAATGTGATAGAATTCACCAGCGGCTGCACTAGATATTTTAGTAGAAGTAAAGTTTACTGTTCTAAATAATTGTTAAAATATTTTTTGTATTTTAATTATATGGATTAAGTTGAATCGCATGAAACACTGATCCGGTTTGCAACAAAGCAGTGATTCCATTATACTGAAGTAATGTATAGGCGAGTTAATTTATTGCTGGCTATTTTCAAGATTCACTATAGGGAATCTTGCCCCCACCCTCTGGAGCTCCATCCCACATTCCCTTTGCTTCGCTCCCTCCATTGCCTCCTTCAGGGCACACCTCAAGATCCTCCTCTTCGATCGTGCCTTCGGCCACCCTCCTACCCTTACAACAGTGACAATAAAACTCAGTGAACAGTGCCAAAGAAATAAGAACATAAGAAATGCTAGACGAGGTCCATCTAGTTCACCTTCCATCTTCCTGGCATCCAGTTAAGTCCCGAACTACCTATCTTATTTCCTAAATGGGAGAATACCACAGACTGCAACGCTATGGATCTACACATGCATGTGTTTTATAATACTACAGTCAGCACATACCATATTGTACAAATGCTGAATGTTAACAGACAGTATCATCCGTTGAACAATATCAACTAAGAGTCATTTATTAAATTACCGGTTCATATGAATCTATCTAACCCTCTTAGAACTACTCTGCAAGGTGCCCAATATATCAATGGGTAAATACACTGAATGTGGTCTTACTAAGCCAAACCAACCAAGAAGATCCCAGAAACAATCTTCCTCTGTGTTCAGTTAGCCAATCTCATCTGAGCAGCAGAGAATTTAGAATTGGCCTCAGTCCCCAAGGCTCAGAAGGAGCAGGGATTCCCTGTTCATCACTTTCTCTCCTGGTCCACTGACCACAATAGAAATGTGTAATCAAGCAATGACGGGATCAAACTGAGCTATAATGCCTTCCAGTCAGCCCACATTCATTCTCTCAGCTCACATGTGAAGGCTGACCTTTTGGGAAGCTACTTGAGTCACAAGTCATTACTTTCAAGGGGGGATGTGGGGCGGGAGAAAAACAAGTAAATGAAAGCAAAAAAGCACAGAATGGTGATGGGGAAGAGATAAAACAATGTGCCTTTAAATTAGTCAGCTATACTACAAACCTTCAAAACAGACACACAAACATATATAATAAAAACTAAACAATTATAACTGTAACAATTATAATGTCTGTGTAACATACCTGATCACATCCGGCATTCACCAATTCTTGAAACATCTGTCTGTTTACTTCAGCACTGACGGATGACCCAGACTCATTGGCAAATGGCATAAGGGAGTTTCTGATTTCTCGCAGAGCTTTCTGATAAGGCCCAAATTTTGGAACTGGTCGCATCTGCTGTTGCCTGGTACCATCCTTTCCAATTGTGGCTTTCGGATCAAGCTGAGTTTCATTATTAGGACCAATACTTAAAGCTTGTCCTGAATGTTTATGGGGCTGCTTTAACCCCTCCCGGATTTCCTGCAGTCTCTGACGGCTGTTTCCGGCGTAGGAAGTGGCTGGAAATGTCTTTGGCCTCATTACAAAACCAGCTTTTGTTTATCATAAATAGGCTCTTTTTAGGATGTTGATGTCATGCTGATTTGAAGAAAGTTATAAGTTTAGCTTGATGTAATTATTGTATCTTTACTCCTTTTACCGATGCCCAACTGATCTTCAATTGGCCCACATAAAGGTTATCTTCACAGTCTTAAATTTGACCGTCTTCATTCTGAAAGACATTGCCACCTGCAAAGTACAAGAGATCACAATTAAGATTGCGCTGAAAGAAACATAAAATGAGTTTCCCCGATGCCCGAGAGGGTAAATGCACCACGTGTAGCCAAATAGATCAGGTTACTGGATCCAATCTTGACCTGGGTGGATTCAGTTGGGACGGAACTAGGGCAACGGCACTTGGCAACTAATGTAGGTAAAAGGGTAGAAAACAAAATCAACCAATGTTCCTGTTTCTGGCGTTTCAATTCTGCTGGAGGAATGCACATGTAGATGTCAGATGAGGACAGTATCAGGCTTGGTCACCTGTGAATTACCACTCCATTCCATACTCTTGTGCGTGCGTACAGACATGCATGCACACCACACATACACACACACTTGAATAGCCTGCTGACAATTCCTGGAGGCTCATCTTGAAATTGTTTTTGCTGTGCCTATTATTCGGGAATCTTTTTATAGTGAAAAATCATAATATTTAATGAACAGTTTTTGGTAGACCTTAAGGCTCACACACAAAAGAATGGCCACTTGGGCAAGTTTATCAATATTTTAAATTTGTCTCTCTGGGAGACTTCTTATTTACACAAACATAATGATATGAACCTTCGAGGCATCGCAGGAGGAACTCCACAGCAAAAACATACCCAAATTACAAATGTTCTGAGTTATGCAAATTATGAAATGTTATATCAGTTGATACAGTCAATTCACTTCACAGTATATTCTGTGAAGCACTTTGAGATGTCTTGAAGACATGATAAGGCACTTTATCAAATGCAAGAATATTATTATATTGTTCTGACTATTTCTGTCTTACAATATCCTTTTTGAAAGTAGGACCTCATACTATTGAAAAGGGCAGGTCTTGAAAGCTGCTAAGAATGTTCCATAGTCAAAGCATGGCTGACACAGGAATATTTAAGAAAAGCATTGCGATTCAAATGAGGTTTCATACTCAGGTTATGCACGGTTCATACTACAAATCTTCCTCTGTGAGGTTACTAGCAGCTTATTTTGTTTAAGTATCATGTGAGTTCTATTAACAGTCAAGCGCTAAAAAAATGTCAGACGTTTACCATTAGGAATGAAGCAGTATAGCGAAACACGTATACTCTGCTAGGTTTTATTAATCGGCAGAATGCTCACTAGGTCTGTGCAGAATGAAAATTTCATGCTAAAATGTAACCACTCCACTCAGAAGATTCACAAGAGTTCAAAAACATTGGAAGAAAAGGGTTAAATATCAAACATTCAACAATTTGCATTTACTATATATAAGGGATTTTGCATATGAGGGATTTTGGAAATAAGCTACAGAGAGCAGAGGAAACGTGGCTGAAAGCTCCCACACCCACTCTGCTCCTTTGTGGATCAGAGTGGGTGAGGGGGATAAAGCAAGCCAAGGTTGGCAGAGTGGTTAGGAGAGTAGGAACCCAGAGGTAAAGTATGGCAAGGATGGGGTGGTATTTGAAAATAAGGGTGAGGATGGGGTGAAGTGCTTGCGGAGGCTAGTGTGGGAAAGAATGCGGGCTGCAGAGTTTCCAGAATGGTCCGCAGCTTGTGGAAGCAGGAGCTGGGAAGGCCGGCAAACAGGGTATTGGAAAAATTCAAGCATGGAAGTTTTGGTTGCTTTGGGGGTGAGGTAGAGGTGGAGATGGGCAATGTTAAGAAGATGGAAGAAAGCAGACTTTCTCAGAGCCCAGATAAAAAGGCTTTATTAAAGCAGAGTTGAGTGTTGAATAAAATGCTGAGATTCTGCACAGGCTCCATAACTTGATTGATTTTTTTTATATCCTCTCCAAAAACAAATGCCTGGGATTTTATTTTGTGGTTTAAAAACAAACAACTGTAATGGACTTTATATGCCGTTTAACTATGTTTTGCATAACTTGTGTTCATTAGATTATTTGGAGAATAGATTTTTTACACATTCTAAAACCTGGAATTTTTAAACTGTAAGCTTTCGTATTTTTAATTAAATTCAATTTGTACGAAATACGGTAAATTTTCCTTCGTTTTTTACTGCTTAACTTTACATTATATACCATAGATCTCCTGCACAGGCACAAAATCAAAATGGTTCCAATTAACATTTCTGACTTGACCTCCGAACAATTTTTTTAAAAAACAATTGCAGCACAAATATTTCTTACATAGCTTCACTGAACCAAAAAAGGTCAGGACAGTCGAGGTACATTAACTCAACATCTTTATTAGACAAGCATACAATTTAAAGCATGCAAGCTTTCTGGATTGCGCTGGATTTTCCCTCTCTAAAAGTGCAGATAAACACATTTGAGAAGATTAGGAAAAACACGTTGTGAGTAATAGAGAATACTGCTGTACTCCATTCCTGATATGCAGTTCTGGTTATGAGTAACCTTTCGCTTGCTCTGACTTTTTTTCTGCATAGAACAAAATAGGGATTTACTAAATTTATATTCCCCTAATAAAATGGTAGATTCTGAACAGAGGCTATGAGACTTTGTTGGGGGGGAGGGAGAGGACGGGCGAGACATCAAATAGCGTTGCCTCACATTTCTTAATAGCCAACCAAAGGGGAGATTTGATAGCAAACAACAGCAAAAAGAAGCAAGTGCTGGGGAAAAGAACAGGCAACATTTACTTATCTTGCAAAATTATCAGTAAAATAATAATCTAGATGTTTGCTTACTTGGCCATATGTTTCCAGGCGCTAGGACAGGGCAGAGCAGAAAAAAGGCAGAGCAAGTGAAGGGGGGGGGGCGGAGAAGAAGAAAATGTATATGGAATGCAACCCTCTCCCTGCCACACACACACACAACTAATCCAATCCTTTACAGTAACATTGGTTTTCCGGATCCCTCCTAAATGCACATCTGTTTCCCTGCATTTTGTTAGTGACTTTTGCAAATGGGCGAGGCTGTCGAGGTTTCCCACTTCTCAATGACTGCCAGACACACTGTCCTGTAACTGGCCAAAGACAGGCACATTTACACCAAGTCACAGAGAACAATGTCAGTGGTTTCCTTCCCCTGAGGTGGACAGGGAGCAAAGGAATGAAACTAATCATGATTCAAACTGCCATAATTTACTTTTCGGGAACTCAGGACTTTTGAACCTTTGACCTCGAGTTTGTAGTGCGAGTACTCTAACCGACAGTCTACCGGACAATGTCCAACAAATCACATTTACAAAACAACACGAGCACCATCACCTGATAGTATTACACACAAAAACCTATAGTGTAGTTTGAGATTCAATGGAATGTGTTGTTGATGCACATATTTTACCTGCTGTATTTTGGAGTGTCCCTATACAGCAGAATTTTCAACAACTACCTGGATCATATTACATAAAGAAGTAAAGGGTGACCAAAAAGACATGATATCTACCCTATTATCTAGGAAAAAACAAAAATAAAATCATGATTTCTAAAGGCTTATTAGACATTGTAATGGTTTACAACTTTGTGGTCACCCTGTGTTATAGTACAAGAAGGATACTTTCATTATGTGAAATTAGATAATTATTTGGGGAGGACAAATTTGCAGGGCTGTGGGGAGAGAGCAAGTGAGTGGGATTGATTTGGATAGCTCTTTTAAAAGAGCCGGCACAGACACGATGGGCCGAATGGCCCATTATTGTATAATTCTACGTAGTATAAACAATTACTGTAAAAAGAAACTAGTTGTGTTTATGGCACATTACAGAATTTATATTTATGAATTGTCATTGCAGGCACTTTTTTTAAAAAAAAGCAAAATATATGACAACCTCTTTTTTTAATAACAAGCCTAGGCAAGTTATAACAATATTCCTTTTTTTATGCAACTCGGATCCTTACAGTATATTCCGTGAAGCGCTTTGAGACATGATAAGCCAATATATCAAATATTATTTGATATAGCGCTTTTCACGTCGGGAGGACGTCCCAAAGCGCTTCACAGAACACACTGTAAAGTGAATTGACTGTATATTTGTTGTGAATGCGGCAGCCAATTGCACACAGCAATGTCCCACAAACAGTCGTAGATTGAAAATGACCAATTTATTATTGTTTTTTTTTTGGAGGTATTATTATTAGGCATGTGGAGTAAGGAAACTTGCCCAAGGTTTCGCCCTCTGCCTGGAATTGAACTCAGGTCTCTCGCTTGCAAAGCAAGTGCTCTAACCACGGAGTTACAGGACTCCACGAATATTATTACATATTGTGGAAGTACTGTAATACCCTTTGATTTATACAGTGCTTAGTGTAATTGTTCTTGATTTGAAGAATTTCATGTTAAGTTGCAACTTGCAATTAATAAATTAAGAAGCAGGAGTATTGTCATTTTCAGTTTCCTTTTTAATATTCCAGCCAGATTTTGGTAGAACTACTTTAAAAGTATATTTAGAAAGGAACAAATATTTTTCTACTTATCTTATAATTGGTAGGGTTGGGTTATAAATATGACTCGATGTTATTTATTGGGCGTTATTTTAAGATACTGTAATTCCAAAAAACAACATCTTAAAAACTTTGTTTAAAAAATTTTCCTCCTCCCAAAAGCGATATAATCATGGTGACTGGTGAGGCACATACAGTAAACAGAGATGAGAGAGAAAGGGAAGAGGGGAAGAAAGGAATGGGAGAGAGGAAGGGAAGGATGTGTTTTGTGGCAGTTATGTAACACTCTTCGATTGTATGGTGCTTAATGTACAGTACTTGTTCTTGTTTTGAAAAATGTCATGTTAAATTGCAACGTAAAATTATATTAAGAAGTTAAGATGCAGCAGTTTTGCCAATTGCAGTATCCCTATTAAACTTATTCCACTTATTGAAATCACACTTATTACACTGAGAAATTTACAACCCATTTTGTCCTCTGTCCGTGCTTCACCATTCACTCTGATGACATCAGCATATTAATGAACACAAGCTGCAGGGTTTCTAAATCCCCCCTCAAAAAACACTTTCCAACTAAAAATCAACAACTTGTATAACTTGTTACACAATTACATTTTTTGACTAAAACACACAATTGAGCCCAAATACAACATGTTTTAATGTTTGTCTTTTGGTACAAAGTTTCATTTTAAGGTCTACTAGAATTAGACTGAACAGATTATACTAAACTATTCAAACTATTCCCTCCTTAATTCATAATTGTGTACTTAACACACAATAGGATCCTTCTCATGCAGGCCAAGTGTTATGTAAACATATCTGAATACATTTAAAAACATCAATAAATAACATCAATTTATTGTCTTATTTAACTGATGTTCTTGTCTAATTCAGCAAATTTCTCAAACAAACCAACTCATAATTGTTATAGTTACAGCTACTGAACAATCAATCGATCTATAATGGGCGAATGAAAACTGTATTGAGACCCATTCACCTGGCGATAAATAATCCAGCACCTGAATAGCAATTGGTAACCTACTTTAGATCAATTGTAACCCACAACATAAAGTAAACAACAAACATTTAAGTTTTTGTTTGTAAAATAAAACAAAATAAATGTACTGGGTTGGGAACTTTACAACACTTGTCGAAAAACATTTAATCAAAGATGCATTACTAAAAGAGACTTTGGACACAATATATGCTCCCCCCCCCACCCCAGAAAATCACCAATTGTAGAATACATTCTTAAATAGTCTAAACCTTTTAAAAATAAAAAAGGGATTTTTATATGTAAATATCGCTTATTTGAGACTGTTCATGAATAAAATTATGCAATTTAGTAAATTGAAGTTGATTTGCATTGTAAGTATTTTCTCATCATATGTGCTAATTGCAGAAAATGTTTAAACGAGCCCATCATTTTTCATTAAAAAAATTAAATGTGTAGCTGAAACGTCCACAATAAAAAATATAAACAACAACAAATTACATTTGTTTTGCACTTTTCAAGTCAGCTCTGGGACAGTCAATATGTTGGACTTAATGTTTTCAAAATAATCAAAGCCGAAGTCAATTAAAAGTGAACTAAATTACACTTGAATATTCCCAAGTAGAAAGTTGTTTGATTTTGAAAGCCTTGTTGCCTATTTTAAGAACAAGACATGTAACAACCACTAAACCTTCAACACCACATTTATGATTTTGCTCCGCAAATGCTGGACACATTCATTCCCACGTTTGATTCTCATCTCGAAACATTTACCGACTGAAACACAAGGTGGGTTTTACAGAGACGGTTTAACACAAAATCCTGCATCACGAGCTCAGAGAGGATCAAATGCATCCCTTCAAAACCATGTTTAAGCAGCACGCAGCGACATTCGTCTGGGGTTTAAACACTGTTCCCTTTAGTCATGGACTTATTTCGAACCGGACACAAAAAAATGAGAGACCGAGAGGCCTGGATATTGCAAATCAGAAATCCCACAATTTACACAGCAAACAGCCCAGAGCACAGCCCAGAGCACAGAGCAGAGCACAGGACCGCCCAGAGCACAGGACAGAGCACAGGACAGAGCCCAGAGCACAGAGCACAGCCCAGAGCACAGCCCAGAGCACAGGGAGAGCCCAGAGCACAGGGACAAAGCCCAGAGCACAGCCCAGAGCACAGGGACAGAGCACAGCCCAGAGCACAGAGCAGAGCACAGGACCGCCCAGAGCACAGGACAGAGCACAGGACAGAGCACAGGACAGAGCACAGGACAGAGCCCAGAGCACAGCCCAGAGCCCAGAGCACAGCCCAGAGCACAGCCCAGAGCACAGGGAGAGCCCAGAGCACAGGGACAAAGCCCAGAGCACAGCCCAGAGCACAGGGAGAGCCCAGAGCACAGGACAGAGCCCAGGACAGAGCCCAGAGCACAGAGCACAGGACAGCCCAGAACACAGAGCAGAGTACAGGACAGAGCCCAGAGCACAGGACAGAGCCCAGAGCACAGGACAGAGCACAGAGCACAGAGCCCAGAGCACATAGCACAGAGCCCAGAGCAGAGCCCAGAGCACAGGGACAGAGGCTGTGAGGAGCAGAGGTCTGAATGCCCGACTGCTCCGATCTTGACGATGAGTGATGACAGATCCCCGAAACCGCGCGCGGAGTCTCTCTTCATCTTCACCGATCATCCCGAGGCCGACCCTGAGCCACCGAGTGAGAGAGAGAGAGAGAGGAGAGAGATGGCCTCCCCCCCCCCCCCCCCGGGCCCCCCCCCGGGTCCCCCCCAACTGTCATCACAGCTCGAGCTGCTCCACAACAACAAAACTCGTTGCGGTTTAATCGCTGTCGCGTCTCTCAGACATCCACCAAAAGAGCCACAAACAACAACAACAACAACAACATGTGAACCCCTTCCCCCCCCCCCCCCCACCGCCCCCCACTCCCATTAAAAACACAGCCGTTAAACCGACCCTCCTCCCTCCCGGGCTGATCGGGGGCTGAACGGCGACGGGTCCTGTCAAAGGTCCTGTTTTGCTCCCATTTTAGCGTCGGTTTTTTTTTGAAAAAAAACGGGCCGATCCGCTCCGCTCCGCTCCGCTCCGCGCGGGTCGGAGTGGGTGAGTGTGTCAGAGAGAGAGAGAAAAAAAAGGAGAGAGAGAGAGAAGGAGAGAGAGAGAGAGAGAGAGAGAAAATTCTTACGACGTGACAGCAACGAGGATTGGCCCCGAAAAAAAAATGTTACCATCGACATCAGAGGGGGTGTGGGCAGGACAGGGCGGGGGGGGGGGGCCGGGGGGTAATGGGGGGGAATCTCCTCCTCTTTTTAAATGGCTTTTTATTTCGTATCTATTTCTTTTGTGGTTTGGTTTTTTTTTGGTTTGGTTTGGTTTGGACCCACTTCTCCCCCTCCCTCCCCCCCTCCCCTCAAAAAAAAAGTCCCACTCTCAAGTGCGGGAGGGAATTCGTGCTGTAAATGATTAGTTCGAGCCGCCGACTGGAGAGTCTTCTCTCTTCTTTCTCTCTCTCTCTCTCTCTCTCTCACTCCCTCTCTCCCTGAGCCAAAAGGAGCGCACCTCGAATTCCAACAGCACTGGAGAAAACACACAGCACTGCCCCTGTCTGTCTGTCTGTCTGTCTGTCTGTCAATGCAACTCGGCACTTCCACAGCAGATTTACCGTCAACAAGTCAACCAACTGTAAAGTCAGAGTGACCCCCAACACACACACACACACACAACTCCTACAATACAGACATTACCACCCAGCACACACACACACCCACACACACACCCACACACAGCACACACACACCCACACACACACAGCACACACACACCCACACACAGCACACACACACCCACACACAGCACACACACACCCACACCCAGCACACACACCCAGCACACACACACACACACAGCACACACACACACACCCAGCACACACACACACACACACACAGCACCCACACACAGCACACACACACACACACACACCCACACACACACACAGGAAGCGTCACGCCACCAAAGGAGGAAGAATTTGGTAAATTCCTTCGGGCTCTCCCCAAACCCAGTTACAGCATTAAATCGAAGCCATAAAGAGATAACGATATATATAAATGTATATATATATATATACACACACCATACATACAGTATACAGGCTGGCTGGCCTCGCTTAGTAAGAGATAAACATAGCAATGAGACAAAGTAGCAACTGCTAAAAAGGAATGCAGGGAGGGAAGGTTTCAGGTTTCTCACTTACTTTTGGCACTTCTGCTCGAATAAGTTCCCCTACTTTGTTTGTGGAGTAAGTGTGATGAAGTGTGTTCCTCGCTCGCTGCCCCTCTCCAGCCGCACTGAAGAGCTGTTGTCAGTTCTCTCTCTCCCTCTCTGTGTGTGTGTCTCGCGCTCCGCTCCTCAGAATGTGACCCGGGGCTGTGGGGAGGCGGTTGATTGACAGCTTCGCTCCGCATTGTTTTCATTCCATTGCGGTCACGTGCGTGCGCTCGCGCGGAACCTCGCTCCGCATACCGACAGGGGGCGGGGCCCCAGGGCGGGGCGGGGCCCGCGGGGAGGGGCGGGGCCCGCGGGGAGGGGAGGGGAGGGGCGGGGCCCCAGGGAGAGGAAGCAGACTTGTCAGCCTCCCGCACAGTCACTGACCGTCCTTGCATTTCACACAGCGCCTTATCGCTTCGGGTGCACAGCTCAAAGGATGACTGTGTATTTGTATTTGGAGGCCGACGTGGCAGCACAATTGCGCACAGCAATGAGCCAAGCAGCCAACAACAAACAGCCAACAACAAACAGCCATGAAGCGAATGACCAATCTTATTTGGGTGATTGTTGGCCAGGACTCCAGGAGAAACTCCCTTCACTCTTTGAATAGTGCCGTGGGATCTCTAACATCCACCGGAACAGGCGGATGAGACCTCGGTTTAACGTCTCATCCGAAGGTCAGCACTTCCGACAATGAAGTGCCCCCCCCCCCCCCCCCACCCAAACACTGCATTGGAGTGATGGCTTAAACTATGTGGGTTCAAGGATTTGCACCCACGACCTTCTGACTCAGAGTACTATCACTGAGCTGAGATGGCGTACAGCCTCTTCGCTGAGATGGTGTGCTCACTTTGTCTCCAGTGTCATGCTATATTATTATAACAATATTAATCCTTGCATTTAACACAGCGCCTTCCATGCCTCAAAGTGCTCTGCAGGATAACAAATACTAATAATCCTTACATTTGGCCTTTCTCGTCAGGAGTACAACGACTTGCATTTACCTAGTGCCCTTCACACTGGTTGAGGCTTGGAGAACTTAACAGTGGCAGAGCCAGGGAGAGAGGGGAGATGACCGTAGGTAGGTCAAAGAGGGAGGTCCGAAAGCACTTCTCAGGCTATACTGTAAAGTCGAGTGACTGTGTTTTGTGGGCGAAAGATATACAGATATACAGGATACATTGCAAAGTGAAGTGGCTGTGTATCTTACCCTGGGCTTTTGCACTGACAACTTATTTTTCTTAACAAACATGATAACCAAGCATGTGCCAAGAATTTGTACGCACCAATTTTTGAGACATGGCAGGGATAGGCAGACAAACTGTGGAATCAAAGGAGGCAGCAAAGGCGTCAGAAAGAGCTTGATAAGGTGTGCATATTGGTTGATGTCTGGCAAATTAAATTCAAAACAAATAAATGCAGGTAACAATAGAAGGTACACATACTCCATCGATGGGCATAGTATTTGCCAAGAGGAAGCTGAAAGAGACCTAGAGGCATTATAATATTAATACTTGCATTTAATATAGCACTTCACATCATATCATTGAGATATCTCAAAGTGCTTCATATGATATATTGTAAAGTAGTGTGAATGTGTATATTTTGTTGGCATTTGTTGCCTCATCGCTCACCCTGTGAAAAAGAATGTGCAGCAGCATTAAACAAGGCAAACTGAATGCTGGAATTCATTGTCAAAATAGTTGACTTTAAATCCGTAGATGTTATGGCTCAAGATGTATACTGCTCTGGTAAAGCAATGCCCGGATTACTTTGTACATTCTGGTTGTCACAACATAACAACAACAACTTGCATCCCTTTCACACAAGATAGCGCTAACATAAAGGAGCTGCCCAGACCCTAGATAAGGTGCAGAGGAGAGCAACAACAATAATCCCCAGTGTTAGAGTGAGCTGTGACAAACCTTGTAAAGAAATGTTTCAGAGAGGCCCTTATAAAGGTATATAAGATTCTAAATTGGATTGAGAAAGTAAACCACAACAGTACTTTGAGTTAAGACAAGGCAGCAGAACGAGAGGGCATAATTTCTAGGTAGCAAAAGACAATTTGAGCCCAGGAAGTATTTATTTGTCCAGAGGATAATTAATTATAATAATCCTTGCATTTGATATGTCGCCTTGTCACATCTTTGAGATGTCCCAAAGCGCTTCACAGAACATACTGTAAAGTGAATTGACTGTATATTTTGTGAGTGAAATGCGGCAGCCAATTGCACACAGCAGTGTCCCACAAACAGTCATGCTATTATGCTATTTACTGCTAGATAAGCAGAGGGTTTTGAGGAGTAAGGAAACTTGCCCAACATTTCATCCTACCGGAAATTGATCCCAGGTCTCTCGCTTATGAGGCAAGAGCTGTAACCATTGACCAATTATTAGAATGGATTACTGGGAAGATTGGCTCAGGCTAAGATGCTGGATTCATTTAATACAATACAAATTAAAATTTGTAGTGCCTTTCACATTGGGAGGCATGTGAAGAACGTCAAGAAACATTCAAGAAACAGATTGATTCCGTAATGGGAGAACATTGAGGTAGGTATTTTGGAAGGATTAGATCAAAAGGACTTTCATTATCTGAACATCTCTTGTGATCCTGTGACTCACAAAAACATAACATCAATTTTCTGTGAAGTTTTGAGACTTTCGACTTTATAAGAACTATATTGATTGCAAGGAATTATACAGTATTGCAATAGACAGTAATTCAATATAGGCCATTTGGCCCACCAAACCTATCCTAATAGTATTCATTCACTGGACCTAACTACAGTACTCTAATCCCAACTCCATGCTGATTTCCTGAACTGTTTCATATTATACATCAAATGTATATCCAATTTGTTGTTATGTGCTCAGTATCAGGAGTGATTTATGGCACAGCGTTCCGTGTTCCAATTACCCGCTGCCGTGTAGTTCCTCAAACATGGTCTTACCTAACACCTACTTCAGTAAGGTACCAAAGAAATACATTTTGCTGCCCCAGTGAGAATAGCTCTGCACTAATTGGCCCTAAACTGACTATCTTAAAAGAGGCCATTAGAATAGCTGGTATGATAAAATAATTGTTCACAGTTGGGAGCAGACTGTACTCCTTTGAGGCTGGAGTTATTGAACATTTTGTAGGCAGAGCAAAGGGGACTTATCCCCATAGCCAGCTGTGCTATAGTTGACCTGGAATGCTGACACTGGGTGACAAAAGAGAAAAAAGTGTTTAATTCCCCAAATCTTGTTATTGGATGAGTGCATAAATTCACTTCAAAAACAATTGTACTGAACAATTAAAATTGTTGGGGGTTTATGGCAATGTAGCTGAATGGAACCTTCAGAGCTGTGTCCAATAAGATGACACAATGTGAGAATAACAAAGAATACTGGGGAATTTTTATGTTTAAATTGTGTCGCTATTGAGTTCATTTTGTAGAAATAAAATTGCGTACAAAATAGAGTGAAACAATGACAGTCATTTCTTGTCTAGCATGTGAAATCACAAGAAAGTAAGAAAATTTTGGATGAAGATAGACCTACAACACTTTGATTTCATCTGTCCAGAATACTACCCTCTAATCTAATAATCGCATCCAACTGTTTTTTGACTTCAGTGTTCCTGTTAAACTGTCTCAGGGGTGATTACATTCTGTGTAAAGATATACTCACTGGTCTAAGTTGCAAAGATTGTTAATCTAGTCAAAATTCTGATAAAGATAAAATAAATAATATACATATATTTCTTATGATTGGTTGCACTCTCACCTCTGAGTCAGAAAGTTGTGGGTTCAAGCCCCAAGTCAGGTCCTAGAATTCATATAAGTCTATGTTGATACTCCAGTAGAGTACTGGAGGAGTGCTGCATTGTCACAGGTGCAGCCCCAAGGATGAGATGTTAAACTGAGGCACAGTCTGCCTGTTCAGGTGGATGTTAACAATCCCATGGCAGTATTGAAAAAGAGAAGGGAGTTTCTCTTTGTGTCCTGGCCAACAATCCCCCAAATAAAATTAGTCATTCACTCCATGACTGTTTGTGGGACATTGCTGAACACAAATTGATCCCCGCATTCATCCACAAAACTCAACATTATATCCTGTCAAAAAGCACTTTGGAATGTCCTAACTTGAAAAACGCTACACCAACATTTTCGGATTATTATTATACATGTACATATGGAGAGTAGAGAGGTGGTAAAACTAAATGAATAGTATTGTATCTATTGAGTTTTATTAGATCTTAGTTATTTTGTTATTTAAATAAAATGTTATTGGGGAAATTGTACAGACCTGGAAAAGATCTTCATAGCTTATATCGCCCAACTCATCTTCATTTTGTAAAATAATAATCCATTTGATGTAGCACCTTTCACATTAGGAGGGCATTTCAAAGCACTGTATTGTAAGGTTTAATCACTATTTGTAGGCAAATGTGACAGCCAATTTCCACAGAGCAATGTACTACAAACAGCTGTGAAATTAATTAACGATTATTTTAAAACTGGAGGATTGTTGGCCAGCACATTGGGAGAAATGCTCTTCTCTTTTCCAATTGTGCCTTGGGATCCTTAAAATTCACCTGAACTTGCAGATGGAGCCTTGGTTTAATATTTCATCCAAAGGACGCACATTCAACAATGCAGCACTCCCCAACACTACATTATATATATATATCCTTGCATTTGATATAGTGCTTTTCACGTCGGGAGAACGTCCCAAAGTGCTTCACAGTACACACTGTAAAGTGAATTGACTGTATATTTGTTTATTGTTTTGGGTTTTTGGAGGGATTATTATTAGGCTCTGTGTGGAGTAAGGAAACTTGCCCAAGGTTTCGCCCTCTGCCTGGAATTGAACTCAGGTCTCTCACTTGCAAAGCGAGTGCTCTCACCACTGAGCTACAGGATTCCACATTGTGTCAGCCTGGACTGCGAATTCAAAGTCAGTCAACATGGGGCTTAAACTCACAAACGTCTGATTCAAGAGTGCTACCAGCTGAACTGGGCTAGCATCTTTATGCTAACATTCACATTAGTTCCAGCTCACTGTATTCACACTACAAGATTCATATAATTGCATGTGCCTAATAGTAACTATTTTCCTTACATATTCAGAAGGTTTAAAATCAACA